AAGCGGCTGGCTCCCCGGGCCAGGCTGGGCAACACACAGGGGGCAGGTGGCGTGCAGCCGGGGGGAGTGCAGAGTGACCTGCAAGCGGGAGGCAAAGGGCAGCAGAGGCTCGCGGGGAGCAGCAGCGCGGCGCTGGGGGGCCCTGAGTGCTTCCTCTGGAGAGCCGGGCAGGAAGAGTGGCACTGCCCACGGAGCCCAGAGGAGCAGGCGCAGGCGGCCACGTACCAGAGTGTCCCCCGAGAGCACTTCCAGGAGCGAGATCAGGTTGTGTCCATCACGCAGGTCCTCGTAGAGGTCGTTCACGTGGCGCTGGGCCTGTAGAGGCAGAAAGGAATCAGGACTGGATGGGGGGCTGGGGGGGGCTGGTGCGTGCGGGGACTGGGCTTGCTAGACATGCCGGCCTGGCAGCCCCACCCATGCCCATTCAGGGGAGTAGCTGCACCCTAGGCATGTCCAGGCCCTGCCCTCAAGGCCTCCATAAGGCCTCTTCTGCTGCTCACTCTTCACTCCCCCCAGATACCCCCGGTGGCTGCCTCTGCTTCAGACCCGACCCAGCAGCCATCACCAGATCTGAGGGACGCCCGGAGATCAGGAAGGAAGGAAGGCAGGGAGGCAGGAAGGAAGGGGGGGCGGCAGTGGGTCGAAGCCCAGCCGGCCTTGGCACATACCTCTGCTCGCCAGTGCTGTTGCCAAGGCAGGAGAGAAGAGAGAAAGAAGCGTCAGGGAGAGACACAGAGAAGGGCCAGGGAGAAGAAGCTGTAGAACGGGATGGCCTGCAGCCCCCAGGCCTCCCCCATCACTGCAGCTGGTGGTGTTTCCAACTGCTGTGCCAGGGCAACACAGGGTAGGGCTCCAAAAGAGGATGCAAGCAGCTTGCAAGGGACAGGCAGCCTTTGGGCTCCTGCTGCCACCCAAGGTCTTCCCTCTCCACCACCCTGGGCCCCTCCCCAGAGATCCCACCACCTCTCCAGGCGGAGCTCTGGGACCTACAGCCCCTGAGCACAGATGCATGATGTGGGAAACACCTAGCCTCTGTGCCTCCCGAAAGTGGGCTGAGGCAGTCGGAAAGGAAAGGAAAGGAAAGGAAAGGAAAGGAAAGGAAAGGAAAGGAAAGGAAAGGGTGCCAAGGCCAGCTGTGTCCTCAGGGGTGCCTGGAAAATGGTGGGTGGATGGGGACGGATGGCAAATCCACAGTGTGCGGGCCTCCTGCACACAGTCCGCCCCTCACAGCCCCACCCATAAGAAAGTTTGAGGCCCCCAGAACCGGCATCCTTTCTGCCCAGGTCAGATCCAGGCAGGCAGGTTGGCAGGAGGCCCTGGTCCTATGGAGGCCGAGGCAGGCTTTCTCCAGGCTGAGCGGCAGCCCCCGGCAAAAGAGGGACTTACCTTGAAGAGGTGCTTGTTGACCCATTTGGTGAAGGTTTTCTTCTGGACCCTGTCCCGCTCATCTGCAAGAGAGGACAGGGGGCGTGACCAGGGCCCTGCGGGCGGGGGAGGAAGCCGGGCCGAGGGGAGCGGAAGGAGACACCAGCTTGATCACAGCCCCACGCCAGGAACTTCCACCTCTCCAGAGGCAGCGTACAGGAAGACCACTGCTGGGCTTGGATCCATGAGAAGTCTCTCTTGCCAGAGAGTCCTGGGGTCCTTTGGAGGGGTCGTGCCACATTCTAGCGCAGCCCCCTGCCCTTCTCATGCTACCATGCCGGCTTGGCCAGCAAAGCTACCTGAGGTGCCCAGCCAGCCGCCTCCTGCTCCTCCACCAGCAGCAGCGAGGCAAGGAACGTGGAGCTAGGCGCCCCTCGCACAGATCCCCAAAGGATCACTTGGGCTCATTGGACCACGGGTGACCCTCTTGAATTTCTCACACCAGGCGGCGTGTGCCTTTTTCTAGCTCCCACCCCAGAGCTGCAGGCGCTCCTGATGCTTCCAGCTAGAGAGCACCAGGCAGCTCTGGAGTGAAAAGATGCAGCTCGCTGTAACCTGGAGCGCGCGTTCCTCCTCTCCTCTCCTCTCCTCTCCATCCCAGGAAACCATCCTTGCTTCGTACAGACCTCTTCTGACATCGCCTTGTGTTCCCTGAAGCTCTCTTTCTTCCAGGGTCTCACTGCCTCCGCCCAACGCCAGCTTTCTTGATCTGCCCCTTCCTCTCAACCCATTCACTCAACCTTCGTGCTCAACATCTCTTTTGCAATTCAGTTCTCATCTATTCTCCCTGTACCACCAAACCACTTCAACGCAATTATTTCATGCTGATCGCTCACTTTGGTATTCAATCCACCTCCTGTTAATTCACAGCTCACTCTTTGGTATTGCCATCCATGCTTCTTAAATCCCCATTGCCATGGCATTCAACTTTCAACTTTAGTCTGTCCTGACGCACCAATCGGTCACTTCCAGGTAACAAAGGGGGCAGAAGCACACCCTTATACATAGCCAGTATTGTTTCTTTCCCTATAAACATACATTCCTTGCAATAAAGCACGTTCCATCCGTTTTCTGTCTACCAACATTTCAACATCTTTAATTTTTTTCACCCATTTTCCCACCTGGAGTGAAAATTTCTTTTTGGTCTTCGATAGGTTAATCTTCAGATCCATATCCTCCTCATACAATCCAGTGAACATCGGCTGCGAACCACACAGGTTCTCAGCCAGCAACAGCATTGTCTGCATACGAAGGTACACCAACGTTCACAGGCCCCCACCCCAACTCAAGGACCCCTTTTACCTTCGTCCATAAGTACTTTAAACAGTCAAAGGGACATCACCCCTCCGAGGTTTATTCTCTGCTCGCTGTTGATGTTCCAGTTATCCTCAAGATACTTCGCTTCCATCAAACTCTCTTCTGACCACGTTCAGCCACCAACCTCCAATTCCACACTCGCCCAAAGCATTTCCCAGTTCAACCCTGCTCACAGATGCTTTCTCTAAATCAACAAGCATACAATACACTTTCTTTTCACATTCATACCTTTCTCAAGGACCTGCTGAGAAGGAAAAACCGAGCTTGCGCACCTCCTGCCTGGACAAAGCCACCCTGCGATTGCCACGTTTCATCCATTCCCACCTTCTGTACCCTTTCAGTCCGAATCCTGCCAAACACCTTCTCGGTCACCCTTACCAGTCTTCACGCACAGCCTGCACAGCCACTCCAAAAGCAAACCGCATCCATATCTCAACGTTTCCCCCACTACACCATCTGCACCTGGAGCCTTACCAGTTTTCAAAATTCTCAAAGCAATTACAACTTCTTTTTCATCACTTTTTCCTTGGATGTTGGTTTCAACTCCACTCTTTAATATACCCGTCATTTCCACGCAAACCCTAAAATTCCTTCCAGCACCCCCCACTTCAGTTTCACCCCAAATCATTTGTTTTTATTTATAATTCTACTCACTCTGCTGAAAGCTCCTTGTTTAGCCCTCTTCATCTAATCCCACCACAAATGTTTTATTTCCATTAGAACTGCTCTGCGTTTTCTCTGCCTCCTCTTGCGTGCATGTTTTCTCACTCATGAGGTCTTTTATTTCATCATTCCATCAAGCATCCTTTTCGTACTTCCTGTTAGTGTAACTCCACATACTTCTGTGGCACTCTGCAACAATTCTTTCTATAGCATATTCTACATCTTCCTTTCTTATATCAACTTTTCATTCATTTTGCTGGGAGATTAATCTACGTTCTCCTACAGCACATTTATTTTCTCATCCAGGTGTCACCCTACGTTCCCTTGCATTTCTTTTCACATCTTTTTCCCAGGATCCACTCCTGGCTTCCAACCGATATGCAATATTATACCTACTTTTATAGACACCTACGACAACCAATTCATACTTTCTAACGTACATTTTAGCTCCAGCGTTCATAACAAACCCAACTTCCCTGCACGCATTCCTCTATTCCACAAGACTAGAGCACCCTCGTTCAGATCTGTTCATCCTTCCTCTTTCTACCGGTGTCTCGGTTATGTAACACGTGCATTTTTCTTTCTCCGTGCATTCATTCGGGCTCTTTGCGGCTTATGCAGCAAACTGCAATCTTCAGTGGCCCACAGCCTCACCAGATGGGCTGACAAATACTGACTCCTGCTGCCCAGTGGAGGCTTCCCCTTGACGCTTTTCAGTTAGATAGGAAAGGCCAAGAGCCTTAGTCTCACCTGTGCCCCACACCCCGTTGGCGGGAAGGACGTCCGGGTCAGTTTGGGGTGCATCCTGGTTTTACTCCCAGAGTGCCCTCACTTTTCTACATGAGTAGGATGGCTAGCCTTGAGCCCCCTTCGCAAACGGTGGCCTGTGGTGGCCTGTATCCCAACGGCTGGGAGGCCGGGGCAGCACCCTGGCACTCACCCAGGATACTGACAGAACACCCTTTCCTCACAGAGCTGCCAGCCCATGCGCCGGATGGCTTGCTTGCTTGTGTCTATTACGGGACACTCTGGTTCCGGCAAGAGCAAACAGCCCCGTGGAGCCCTAATGGCAGATATAGCAGCGCCCACCACAGTCCACCTCGTCAGGTGTCTGCGTGCAAAAGAATTGTGACTTTCCTTTTGTGCCTGGGAAGGGATGCGTGTTAGGGGCATGTTTAATGAACACATGGCGGCCAGGGGCAGTGAAGAGGGACCAGGAGAGCGGCTGGATCAGGCCGCCCACAGCTGCCCACGAGGCTCCCCAGATGGCGCCCCTCCTCTGCTCCTCAGAGCCTTGGATTGCGGGCAGAGGCAGAACCCTGCTAAGCCCGCACCAGCTGACCCCCTTC